TGCTTGACAGCTCGGCGCAAGAAGCGCGAGGCTGATCAACTGATTTCTTTTCATGATGCCTAGATAGTCGGACTGTTGAGCGTCTTGTGGTGGATTACTGCTAGGCTCTTATTGATGATGGTAGACACTCATGGACATGCTCTCGTTATATAAGTCTTGGAGATACCTACCCAATGCTATTAAAGGATATTTTGTGGAGTAATTTCAACTACGCACGATCAATGCATATACGGATGTCGGCTTCCATGGTGCACGTTGCAGCAACTAGCATCGTGTTCGGGATACGATGTAGTATGGAGACTGAGAGTGGGAGGGTTAAGGTCACTTCCGCTGAGAGCCTTGTCTGGAAACTGATCTTAGGCGTTGGCAACTAATTTTGGAAACACGACCCTGGGCAAGATTAGCTTTGTGTCCTGGCTGATTGGTCCTGGAAATCTCCGGGGAATGCACGCGACACTAACTGGTCTGAGTTCGCCTTCTTTCGGCGGAGACGCAGGCGGACTAGAATCCGCAATGACTTGGCGAAGCTTCGAGTCTCTAAGTCTACAGTCAATTCAACGCTGAAAACGCCACTAATGGACTTCATTTTCTTCGTACTTTCCTCCAGGATCATACGCAGCCGTTTGTAGCCTCGTCAGTAACTAGACTGAGTGCGCTGGCCACGTATCTAATACTGAGCACAGAGCGCATCCAGTGTACTGATAGGGGCAACATTTTAGACCGAGGCTGAAGAGCTTGCAAGGCTATACTCGTAACGCTACCATCGTATTTTGCCGTCTCTTCATCAACGTGCTCAGGGAGTTTCCGTCGGGTGGCACCGTGCCTTCCTTTGGGCGACCCACGCTCCGACCGCGATGTTTTGTACCAAAGCTAATGGTAAAAGCCGGACGTGATAGTCACTGTCAAGTAACAAAGAAGACAACCATTGGAGATGGAGCGCAAATACTTTTGGCGCCGTTGTTCGACGGTTTTGATGTTAACGATCAGTCATTTCGCTTGGTCAGCTCTGATGTTCTTCCGCCCTTCTACGGCAGCGCCTCGATCACAACAGACGGGCATACTCTACAATGGCCTCTCACGATACAAACTGCTCGCATGTTCAAACACAGAGTATCGCGATGTGCCCGTGATTCATAAATTTTCAGTATCATGTAATTTTACCAAAGACCTAAGAACCACCCCTCACAACGTCCACTGCAAGCGTGGTATATACCCAAGCTCGAGAATGTGAATATATAACAGAAGTGAATTATACTCGATATGGCTCTTTTCCTTCCGATCATCTCATTCACACAGACTTGAGAGCGAGAGCGCAGCAAATGTGTTGGAATGAAAGTCGCAAATGCGAGTCACAGGAACGATTACTTGTCATACAAGGCGATTGATGGCGTTGCTGTTCAGTCACAATCTTTCAGACGAGATGATAAGATCCTTCTAATGACCTTACGGCCACCGCAACTTTCGTTGACGACCTCGCCCTGTAATCGAAACCTAAGTCGACCCATATCCAAGAGTAACCAAAATATTTGGACATATTTCATATCAACACACGTGATGGCTCCGATCGTGTTCAACAGACCTATATCGCCGACTCCTGACTCGGTAATGGGAGAAGTGGTTGACAACATCTGCCAACAATGGGACATCGACGATGCGTGGCAAGCACTTCCCAATGGTCTGAGCTACAATCATGCTGAGTACGCCATGGCATGGGGCCAGCCATTCTTGATTCTTCTTTCAGACCTGGCAAGCCTTACACCGGGAAAGCTCGAAGATGTACAAAAACGTCTTCGTAAGCGGATCGATCATGGTCGAAAGACGAAAGGCCGCCACTCGTGGGTGATGCCAGATGATCTCAAGACGCTGGTTGAACTCTATGGGCGCAAGCAACCCACAGCTGATAGATCCGCCAACAAGGGACAGAAAAGTGACTTTCGACGTAGAGTAGGACGTGAAGAGGAGCAGTCAGAAGGAGAATTAGCAGACGATGAGCATGAAATTCGGGAGCAGTATATGTCGGACAGCACTTTACAGACCAGTGACGCCATTGGAGAAATTGCAGCGTCGAATGATGATCAGGATGGAGAGTATAATCCCCCGTCTTGTAACAGTTCGTCTGGCACTGCAACTTCCACTACACTTGCCCATAGTGAGAAGCGCAAGCGAGGTCAGGACTTGGACGAGCAAGACATCGGCAAGGCACTGCAAGTACGAGACGATATCGAATTCTGGCGGGAAGCTGTCCCAGTAGCTCCAGCTCCACGAACACAACCACCTGTCACTCCAGTATCAGACAGCCTGAGGACCGTGGACATGGAACAAAGATTTGAGATTCCGCCAGAGTTCACACCGGAACAAGAGATCGAGCTATTGCATATCTTGAGGCGACGTCATCGAAGCCTCGTGAAGGTTGCCGAGCTTGACTTTCGAATCCGATTGGAAGAGATGAGGCTTTCACAATAGGACGGCGCGTGGGCTGCGTGGATATCTTATAGGAAGGGTTATTCCAAGGAAAGTATCGTCAGCCTTTTCAGGGTAAGAACAATTAGATCAAATATACGATGGAGCATATTGTCCAATCTGACAGGACAACGTGATGTGTATCCACTTTTGTCGTGAGGATAGTCCGGATGAAGATGTGCCAGATGTGTGGGCGCATCTATTAGTCCGCCTTAAGTGGTGCGAGCAGTGTCGCAGATGGGAACGGATGGGCAGGAGCTATGCGGGGTAGATCTGGAGACGGTCGAATTAGTCGTGCCAAGCACCTCGGTACGGATCAGATCAAGGAGCCGCCGTCCCTCGATCGTCGCAATCTTGGAAGCAAGCGCGAACCCAACTCCGCTATGATATAAGCCATCCACTTCCGAAAATACCCATGGCCTCCTCACCGTGTTCATCGACAGCGCTGTCAGCACGATGGTGGACTTCACGCAACATCCTGTAAAGGGCGTGTACGCGTTGGCCGCCCTGGGCCTTGAGCTCGTGCGATTCCCAGTATTCATTGTCAAATTCCTCCTCTTCGGTCGCCAGCACCCTAGCTGGACCTTTCGACAGGCCATTACTGTGCACGCCCTCTTCTCTGGGCTATGGCACGTGGCTACGGTGCAAGCTAAGACACCACTGCCTCTCACACCGGACCGGGAGAAGGAGCGATTCCTTGTCATCAAACCGGCGAAGGATGACGTATACAAAGGACCATTGAGGAGCAACAAGGACGTTGTGCCGGCAGAAATTGGTGCGACGTGGTTTCCTGCGCCATTGACCACGGGCAGCGATAAGAGCAACGTCAAGGTCGTCCTTCATATACACGGCGGCGCTTTCGTCACAGGTCAGTCGATAGCCTTTGTGATACACATCCCCGTGGCTGACTTTTACCAGGAGATGGAAGGACGGGACAATGCGGGGCTCCCGCAAAGAAACTCCTCAAGCACACCCTAGCCACACACATCTTCTGTCCTCAGTATCGCCTCTCCACGCTGCCTGCCTCCAAGACATCGAACCCGTTCCCAGCCGCGCTCCAAGACAGCCTCACGTCCTACCTATATCTCTTGAACGACCTCAAAATATCCCCGAAGAACATCATACTCTCCGGAGACTCGGCAGGCGGCAACCTCGCCATCTCCCTTCTTCGCTACATCTCTGAGTACGGCTCCGACCTCGGTCTACCTGCTCCCTCGTCAGCGCTTCTCTGGTCGCCCTGGATCAACCCCGCCGATACCTCTGCATCATACGTTCATGACAACAGGAACTATGCCACAGACTACCTCTCTCCTCCCTTCACGTCCTGGGGCACCCAGGCATATGCTGGTGAAGCTGGCGAGCAGGTTCTGTCACAGCCATACATTTCGCACAAGAACCGAACATTCAAGACCGAGGTGCCTATCTGGGTGAATGGAGGTGGGGGAGAGATACTATACTTTGACGTAGTCGAATGGGGTGAGAAGATGAAGCAAGCAGGTAACGATGTGCAGCTTGATATTGAAGAGCACGTTCCACACGATCTCTTACTCTTGGGTCACATCTTGGGATTCGAGCAAGAGGCTGTAAACATGGCTAAGCGGGCGGGCGAATGGCTGAACGAGCAGAAGAGATAAGGACGGACGAGAGCTAAATCGCATCTATCACCTTGACGCTAGCTCTGTCGATTAGGGGCTTTTCGAATCCAGCACGGCTAGCTAAGCGGAATGGTACAGTGCTTAGGAAGCGGAGTGACGGAGTCGCGGGTCCACAAACTGACTGGGATATGAATCGCCAAGTCCAAATCGTCACAGTCTAAGACGCTACCTTCTAGGCAACGGCCTTCACCGTAACAGTTCCAGTTCAAACTATGGCAATGAATTCAAGCTTCTTCATCTGATCAGATAGAACCGGTGCCCAACAACTTGGGCGAATAGGACTGTAAATGAACGAAAACATCCACTGCCCACCCAGTGCTAGTAGTAAATACCGCCGGTAAAGCGACGTCGTGATGTCGTGATAAGCAGCCCGAGCTTGCTTGGCCCTGCCATATTTTGAATATAGTGAGGCTCGTCCACTTACCGTTATAGAGTACCGTTATAGTCATCGTCGGATGAACATGGATCCCACATCCTTAAGGTTCATTTGTAATCCAAGGGGATTTTTCGGACGTCGAGATGGACTCATGACTGAGTGCTCAAAGGGTTCAGCAGCATCGTTGTATAAAGCTGACCTAGTTGCGTTATCTTATAGACATCATACACATCGCATTTCAGGTGGCTAGTCTGATATCTTCTCATTCGGCACTCGCTTTTTCCATCATGACTTTGTATTCATCAACCGGCAATTGCACGCCCAGTGCTATTCCCTATCCAGTTATACTCGGGGCTGAGTTTGTTGCTATTGAAGCCCAGCCAGTCCTGAACTACAACGGCTCTGACATTGAAAATCGACTCTGGCACAACCATGGCCTTCTACCTACCAACGCCTCCGTTACCTTCTGCAATGTCACCCTCACGCACACGCATCCAGGCAAAGACGACATGCTGCGTACACAGATCTGGCTTCCTCTAGACTCCACATGGAACAGACGTATGGTAATGGCAGGTCGCGGAGGTTGGTCAGCAGGGTTTGAGCAAGCTGCCCCAGGCATGTTTGGAGGGCTGACTGAGGGCTTTGCAACATCATCGGTGGATGGCGGAGTATAGATTGAGAACGCTCTCTCAGTAGCATCCTGGGCACTGGCAAGTCCTGGCAATGTCGACTACAACGCACTGCAGAACTTTGCATTCAATGGTCTGATTGATGGCGCCATGGCCACAAAACAGGTCATCGAAAGCTTCTATGGTCATGCCCGGACTACTCTTACTGGAACGGTTGCTCTCAAGGTGGCCGGCAAGGTTACATGTTTGCCCAGAAGTTTCCAGAGGTGTTCGATGGCATCGCGGCAGCAGCTCCAGCCATCAACTGGAGTTCATTCTTTTTTTCGTCAACCTTCCCTCAACAGGTCTTGTCTGAGCTGACCCAAAACGGCTTGAAACGTTTCCCACATGAGTGCGAGTTCCTCTCCCTAAGGACAGCTGCCATTGCTGCTTGCGACGCCAACGGTGGACCTGTTGATGGGTTAATTTCCGACATGGCAAGCTGCAAATTCGACGCTCGGTCCATGATTGGAAGTCCATCTAACTGCAGCTCTTCTGGTGCACCTTCGGTCATATCGGAGGCTGCTGCTATGGCCATGAATGCATTGTGGCAAGGTGCTCAGACGAGCGATGGATCATTCCTGTGGTACCCCCATGGATACCAGACAGACCCAACAGCTTTCTATGGTACTCTGGACAACACCTGCTCGGACAACGGCACATGTGTCCCAGAAAGAAATACGCTCTTCACCCACTGGATAAAGTACTTCGTCAAGAAAGATCCGGATTTTGACTTGAACAACATGACACGCCAGGACTTTGTCCGCGCATTCAACGCAGGAACGCGAGACTACAACTCCATTATCGACACGGATTATCCAGACTTGCGAGAGTTTCGCGCGGCCGGGGGAAAGCTGCTTACCTACCACGGTCTAGTAAGTCCTACATTGCCACAAGAGTTACCACAACACAAGATACTGACCGACCCATCTAGGCAGACCAATCGATCCCATATGGTGGAACGGGTGACTATTATGATCGAGTATCTGCTCTCGATCCTGCCCTGCGCGACTTTTACCGTTATTTCGAAGTCCCCGGAGCAGCACACTGTGAAGCTGGCCAAGGTGGTGTACCTACCGGCTTGTTTTCCGCTTTGGTCGACTGGGTTGAGAATGGTATTGCGCCCGAAACGCTTATCGCTAGGAACGCTGAAGATAAAGAACGTTTGCTTTGTCAATACCCGAAGAAGGCAGTATTCACTGGAGACTCTGCAAACTACACTGCGGCAGATTTCGTATGCCAGTGAAGAGTATGGGAAAGTGGCAGTCAATGATTAGGATAGTCGTTTGCTCATCAGTGTAGTGTAGTATTGGTGGTTCTGACTGGAGACTAGCGTTGGCCTTCCGAGAGTGGGTTTGCGAGCGCAGAGAAGAGTTCACCAGACTTGCTAGCGCTACTCATTAGGTTCAATACGATGGTGTGTGAATGATCGTCTATTTTGTTCTTTCTATGACAATGTTCGCCGCATTCATCTTACACTAGCCGGATCGCGCCCTCTTGAGCCTCGTTCCCAACAAACTGGTGAGACGGTCCTGTTCCTGGCAGCCAAAGGATCATAGGCTCGATACCGTTTCCTCCTAACAGTGTACTAGATACATAGTAGTGCCGTTTTATGCTTGCAGCAATATAAAGCAAGGCTGCAACGCCAAACAGGCACGCTGAGAACCAGAAAAGCAGACTCATGAACCCGTTAACCCAACCACCTTCAACTCGGAATCTGTAAAAGCTGTAGGATACAGTAGGGAAGCTCAGCTGCATACAGTATACAAGATTGATCAGAACCCTCCCTGCCAGTATGTTTGGCAGTATGAACCCGGACCCTTCAAGAAGGATTCCTAAGGTTGCCAATGAGGCTATAAGCGTGGGCAGGCAGAAGAAGAAGACGACAAACGACGCGACTGTGATCTTTGTGGGGGTGTTGAAAGGATCCGCAGTTTCGATAGCCCATAATTCGCAGAAATAGCGAGGTGGCATCGTGAGGCACGTGGCTGTTGACCAGTATAGGAGTGGTTGAGGGCGGATATAATGAGGAAGTTCCAACCCTAGAATAATAAGAGGGAACAGACTATTCGCTTGTAAGAAACATGTGATGTAGTTCTTGTCTTACTACGTACAGGTTCAAGGGGCCCAAGTCCAAAGTAAGATCAAGCAATGACGTAAAGCCATGAACTTCATCGCTATCAAGGATAACAAGATAGCGGTAAAGTGCGTAGAATGTGGGCAGGTATAATAGGGCCGCTGCAGTTACAGATACCCTATAATGATCAGTTGCTTATCACCATCCCTCATGAGCGCGCCTTACCATTGTGCATATATCGCTAATGGACGTTAGCATGTTTTGTCTCTGTACTCGACTATCGATATCTGATTAGGTGGCTTACAAAGATTCCGCAAACCTATGTCCGTCCTCAGTCTGTCCCGGATAACATGAGGGTCGAATGCGATAACCATCGTTGTTTGTTGACTGCAATAGCCCGCGATACGCTATTTGTTCTTGTAAATAAGCAGCAGAGAATGCAAATGAACTCTGCGTGCACGATGAAGAGATGGTAATGCTGACTCCAGTGCAGTTAGCTCTCACAACATAGCCACTTCGACGCGCAGTCGGTAGGCTGACGCGGAAGCTGTGCACGCCACTCCTTTGTTTGGGGTGTGTGCGTTATCAGCCCCCACCTGCTCAGGTAAGACGGCGGCCTTACAAGGAACACCATCCTCAATAGCCGCAGGCGACTTTCCTCACTTCACCACATAGCGTTTTCGCCTGGCACCAGCTCACCTTACTATCTGAGAAATCACTTGCGGGAACTATTCTCTCCGTACATGCCCTCGCAAATTCACGTACGCGTTCCCCAGTCGCGCTATGCCTTTGCGCAGCGTCCGACACACCGTTTACGAACCTCTCGGCAGCGATGCTATTCGACTTCTGTTTGTGAAACCTGGCTTCAAGGATGAGCCCATAGAATGCGCGTTGATCACTGTGGCCAACCTGGCTGAGTCGCCCCCGTATCATGCACTCTCCTATGTTTGGGGTGAGTCCGACGAGACAGCCTCTATAATCTGCAACGGTGCGGAAATGGCTATCACCAAAAGATTGGCCGATACTCTCATACATCTGCGACGTACCCCAGGATGGCGCTCTGTCGTACCCTGGTCTAAAGATCACCCACTGCATTCTAGCAAGAACGCATGGAAGGGTTTCGCACGAAGCCGACACGAGCAATATCAAGAAAGTGAATGGGAGAAAGAGAGCTTGTTGTGGATCGATGCTCTCTGTATAGATCAGACCAATCACGAGGAGAGGGCAAGCCAGGTCAAGATGATGGGTAAAATTTATAGTTGTGCCGCGGCTGTCACCATATGGCTCGGCGCAGAAGACAAGCAGTTACCAGATTCCATCTCGAAATTCGATGCCGGGTCGGGTGTTCACATCAGCACGTATGGACGAATACCAGTCTTGCTCTCGTTCATCGCGCAAGCGCTGCGGAACGTGAAAAGGCCACAGAACAGATTGGCCTCCATCACACCCGCTGAAAACTCACTCCAGCGCAACGGAGCGTACGGATTTCCCAAGCCTAACGCGCCGGATTGGAAAATTGTACGTGACTTCTTCACGAACCCCTGGTTTGAAAGAGTGTGGGTGGTGCAGGAGGCAGTCCTCGCGAGCAGAGCAATGGTGTTGATAGGCGACTGGGAAGTCGATTGGGCAGCCATCGGAGATGCGGCCTCATGGTTCCAGACTAAGGGCTACGCCTTGCCTGCAGTGTTGAAATACGAAATTCAAGATCAACAGGATCTCTTGCCAGTTGCCAAGGCTGTCTCAGTGTGGAAGCAATGTTCTTCGCCTGGCAAGCAGATTGCGCTATTGGATTTGCTCCAGGCATTTCGCAACAGACTGGCCACAGATCCTAGAGACAAAGTGTATGCGACGTTCGGCATAGCAACGGAATTAGCTGATGTCGAAGCACATGGGTTTCACCAGCTTCTCGAACCAGACTATGAGAAGCCCGTCCTCGATGTATACCGTGATGTTGCTAGGTTCTTGATCATTGAACATGGGAGTCTTGATGTCCTTTCGGACGCGGGACTACCCTTGGAGCCATCATGGCCATCATGGGTCCCAGATTGGCGTCAAAACAGAGCTTCAAACACCTTGACAACTATGCCATCTGCCAAGAACTACAATGCGAGCGGAAACGGGTCGCTCTCCATGGGTTTTAGTGATAATTCTGCTATACTTTCGCTCGAGGGTATCGATGTCGACCATGTAGCGGCTTACGGTCACAAGCTTGCAAGCTACGGCTTTGGCTATGTAACGTATCAAGAAGAAATCGACTTCGTAAACATGGCATGGGGACTTATGGAGCCTTCTGAGACAGCATCAGCTTCGAACGCGGACAAGGCCGTGATTAGAAGATTCATCCAAACACTGACGGCTGGCCAGAACAACGATCCGGACTTCTTTGGCCACGCTTTGAGTTGGTTTGCGCAACACACCCATATTTCTCGCATCGCGTCCTTGTTGCAACGTATGCCATGGGCCTCGAGGCAGAGCGCGGATTCTGGGCGTTTTCATGAGGCTTTCGTTCGGGTTTGCGTTGATAGACGATTTTTCGTGACTAGAAACGGCTTGATGGGCATTGGGCCAGACGCGATGAAAGAAGGAGATATCATTGCGATACTGTTTGGCGGAAGCGTACCATATGTGGTTAGAACTGTGGATCAAAATCATAAGTTAGTAGGGGAATGCTACGTGGTGGGGTTGATGAATGGGGAAGCGATGTCAACATGGAAAGATGAAGGAAGTAAGAGAAAGGTCTTTGACTTACTCTAGAGCCAAACCTGCATGTATAATCTAGCTCAAGATCTTGCACTTGTAGGAAGACATGGAATGGGTGTGTAGGAGGTTTTCTACCATTGCCCATCAACGGATGCATAGGTCTTTGGCCCATGGCTCCACTACGTTCAATCGGGCGCTACTCCATAGCGACATAAGAGAGCTCACGGGACAGGCGCATATCATGTCAGCCACCGGTTTGCGGATCACATACCCTAATGATAACCTTTCTTTTACTTGGATAGGTGTCCAGGTACAGAGCGCGGCTGAGAATGTGTAGCCAAATCTCCGTTCGTTTTTGCTTTTGCTGAGGTGTCGAAGGTCAAACAGCGATCGACCGAGGGCGCGTGTAGATAAGCCCCTTTGGCGTCATTCCAGATCTGCGAGCCTGAATGTGCGAGGTTATTCATCAGATAACAAGTGGCTTTCAGGACTTTAGCTGAAGCACATCAGCGCGAATGGTAACACTGCTCTAAGCGACCGTGAAGTTTAGTGCCTATGCCGAGCCTATCACCACAGTCACTAATATGCAGGCGTTTCTGAAAGCAACATACTTTGGCGAGCCGCGTAGCTTTCTGTGGACAGAAACATGATCTGCTCGTGCATAGGGATTATCCTAATTACGATGTAAGTAAACCGCCAATTCAGAATACTTCCGGGGCTGTAAGTAGGAGCCTTGAGAACGCAACCGGGGACATCTTTACTGGGAATTATACGGTGAGCGACATCATGGCATTTGGCTATCGAGACATGCATCAGGACTCAAGTGCTAGCGCATAGGTATCTGTACATGGAAGGTGTTTCCCCATTGCTCGAGTGCGCAGGTGCGTGGTGTTGTGATGCCCTCACGACTACGCAGAGGCGGGGTGGCAACGTGTCTTCCGAATCGCCACCAATAGCGTCGCAGGATGAATTGCAAATCCTCCACCGTCGTCATCCTCTTTCCTTCTAGTGCTTGGCAAACAACTCGGTACTTGATGCTAACTTTTGCTCTTTCACGTACTGGACTGCAAGAAGGCATCATGACCCTGCTAATGTTACTTGACATCGTTTCAATAATACTGTCGGTTGTATCTTTCCTCAGTTGGAGGGTGTCAGATTATGCGGAGAAACAAGAATTGTGGACACTACGTCTACGGCTTTCGCTTTGGCAACCCTACCTGCTATCGCTATGGGCTATCTTCTTCTCGACCACTCTTCTCCACATTGTTTACGATGTCTTGATCGTCACGCAAATGCAAGGGATGCTTCTGAATAATACGAACCCTCCAAGTGGCCCAGTATTTGGGACCCGCATGGCGCTCCCATATATTCTGATGAGTCTCATAGCTCTCGTCACTGCCGAGTTCGCAATTCGTACATTTTCTACACGTACGTATCTATATACTCGGCAGAAAGCATGGTGTGGGCCAAGTCGCACTGGAATTCCTCAAGAGGTGTCGACATACATAGGGGACGCAGAGGATTGGAAGTGGTTAGCAAAACACGCATCTCAAATTCGACCACACCCTGTAGAGAGACTTGCGCAGAGCCTTTACACGAACCAAAGAATCTCGCAAGATCCGACAGATTTGCTTCGATCAAGGGCTGAAATGGATCGCATTGAAGGCACCAAATGGGTTCCAGCTAGCACCGAAAGGCGTGGAGTTTACCAACATGGCCAAGACAACGACTCAACTTCACTCCTATGGGGTGAACACCTTGGTTTCCAAGAACGGTGCAGTCGCGGCATTATTTCAATCCCTCCTTACCTCTTGAGTACCACTCCAAAGCTAAAGTCCGGACTGTGCGGTAAGGCCGTGTGCCTTGCTTTCGGGATCATGGCACGGAATAAAGGACCGGATCCACGTTCACTGATTTGCAACTTGAAAGCGAAGAACTCGTTTCGAACCTGGGAGGAGGCAGGAATCTGGCCGCATCCAGCAAAGACTTTGAGAAGCTTTTACTACGCAGAATTCGAAAAGGCCTTTTTCTTGCTAGGCGATGCGTATGTCACGGCCGTGACGGAACTCGCCTTACTGCTAGCCGACCTGGATTCCAACATGGTGGATGTTTGGCTGGACAAACAGTTTGAACATCAAGATCTAGCATTCAATCTTCAAGCTAATGCCTGTGGAGCAAATCAAGAAGATCTAGTCAGACTCTATCGAGGTCACTATGCAGCTATGCTCATTAGCCTCAGCCTTGTCCACAGATGTGCGAGCATACGACCAGAAATTACTGTGTTCGATGCTGTATGCAAGTTGGACAATGTGAAGGTACCGGATTGGGCGTATTCGGGGCAGATCGAGGGTCGGAGGCAAGCAGAGAGACATGAATATGGCGCCTCTCTACAAAACTTGATAAGCGCTATCATCTAACGGCCCCATGTATCTTTGGCTTTTGGTTTAACCAGAGAAGTTTTTGCCTTGCAAGAATGCTCCAAGCAATTTATTGCTGCGTTTGAGCAGGAAGACGAGCAGCTCGGCTTTTAAGTCCTTACTACCACTCGCAGTACTAGGGCATACCCTTGATAAACGCTTTACAACTACCTGGAGAGCTCGGCAAGCTGCGTTGCATGTGTTAAAGACCACTCATATACTCCGAGGCAGTTTTTGCGCCTCAAGAGAAGCAGCGCATTGACAGATCAGAAGGCAACCGAGCTCCGAGCAGCTCAAATCTCGAACGATTAGGGACTGTATCTGTGAATTCCGGTTGGCGCTACAGATCAGACTGTCCTCTGCCTAATTTATCAGCTTTGTCAAGGGTTGAAAGAACCCTGTATCTTACTTAAGTTCCCTTGAACAGGATGTCTTGACAACGTGCTCAATGTGTGCAATCTGGTTATTGCAATTGGAAACTAAAGCATTGTGTAAATAGGGAGAGCTGAACATCTGCTACACCAATACATCACTGCAGATACGAGCGACTCAGGGGTCTACAGTCATGGTTGGGTAGAGACAGACTGGTACACCTCTTATTAGCCAGACGCAAGGTGATTTATGCAGTGGCTGGTGGGCTGAGCTTTTACAACAGCTGTAATAACTTTGATTGGTGAACAGCAGCCAATGAACTTTCACCGGAGTAAAGTTTCAGGCAACGAGGCAGATAAGAGCGCCATCGCGGTTCGCGCAAGCCACAAATTGGTGTTCGCATGACTTAAGGCAATTATTCAAGTCCCAATGTACTCAGGTAGGTCGTGACTTAAGATCCGATTCCGAGCCCACCTACCAGTGTACCCATCTCGAGCAGCAAAGCTTACCGACGCTTAGTTACGTATCTAGTTCAAAAGAGACAGCATCCTCCAATTCAACTTCCAGGATTTAGTCACTGGTGACGTATCATTTGGAGAACCACATTGGAATCCTTCATCTTTCGACACCATGGATGGCGGCAGTCGCAGAAATCTCATCCTTTGCTTCACTATGTTCTGTCTTCGTACTCTTGCTATCCCGCTAGAAAAGATGCCCGAAGTCGCTCAACATATAAGGAATGAGCCTAGAAAAACAGACTTTGCTATCTTCCGTCCAAGCGAGGAATCGTCGATCGCCTTCCTCTGGTCGTCCATCGGTATCGCGACGTTTACTGCGTTCCTCCAAGGCCTTGTCACCACTCTAGCATCCATGACAGAATCATCGAACTCATGGACATTCAGGTTTCGCCTAGCAAAATTAGAGCATTGGTGGTGGACAGTGATATCAGTGTTTCTGTTCATATCGCTAGTTCTCATTACACTGTCATTCGCATCTGGAAACAACAATGAAGCCATCTCTATACTTGTCCTCTCGTCGACAACTCTGTTGGCAATAGTCCAGTACACTGTGCCGTCATGGCGCAGTCGTCACTACATCCGCAACCGGTACTCAGCTTGGGCCGGGCCCAGCCGCACTGCTATTAAGAGGGATCATATCGCCTATTGTGGATCAAAGAGGGACTGGACAAAACTATCGAAGAATGTCAGAGTATCCGACAGGAAGAGGACTCCGTCCGATGACTATGGCTGGCACATTTGGAGAGTCGAGGGCATCCGAGAAGACCCAACGGATATGCTCAACAGCGTGCATGCGGGAAAAGAGACCATATCACGTGAAGGGCGAAACGAACATATCTATCAAGATGGGTACCAGAATTCAGCCACGGTATCTCTGTTTTGGGGAGAACAACTTGGCTTTGTTCCCAGAGTATCACGCGCTATATCCTCAGTACCCGCCAATCTCCTGAAGTCGCGGCCGATCACTGTTGATGGCTTTGCGGGTGAAGGTCTCTGCTTAGGCATGGGAATCCTAGGGAGGAACAAAGGTCTCAACCCTAAAGGTCTAGTTTTCAAGATGAACGAGCCAATCTGGAGAAGCCTCGAGAACAATTCTGCCTTTGCCCCAAGACCTTCAAAAACACTAAGAAGTTACTATGCCAAACAACTCAAAAGGGTGTATGGAGGAATCTCTGACCAGTTCGTCCTAGCGGCCGTAGAGCTTTCTTTAATTCTCATGGACGCGGATAGTCACGCCATCGCGACTTGGCTCGAAGGCTATTGCGAGCACCAGTACCTTTACGTCAACCAAAGGCTTCAGCAGCTCGACGCTACTCCAGAAGAGCTCAAAGCACACTACGAGTCCAGCTATGTCTCGATGGTTATCTCTCTGAACAACATGCGGACTCGGAATCTAGGCAGACCAGGCCGTGGAATCGACAGCAAAGAGAAGCCCTGTCGACCTGATATCATCTGCCTTGGCCTCCTTCTTAAGGCCAGAGAGCAATCAGAACCGAATTGGTGGAGGCATGAGGACATCCAGGCGATTCGGGAAAGCGAAAGGACTCTGCTTAATGGTGAGTGGTACAACGACGCTGCAAAGCTATTGGGTCTATCGTCGTGTCCTCACGGATTTGAAAATGGACAATGGGGTATTGCTTCGCCTTCTCTCG